ATTCGCGGCGGGCCAATCCGTGCGGCTCGCTCAGCCAATCAGCTCGCTGCGTGTCTTAGCCAATCGCGGCGCAGGTCTGCAAGAATGGTAATGACCGTACAGAACAGTCTACCCAGGCCCACATGGTAAAGATGTACTCTATCAATGAGTTATTATCATAGCTATGAATAAGAGTTTTTTTAAAAAGTTATAATGGACTTTTAAAAACCATTTTCTCACATTGATAACACATATCTTTGTTTATTTCCAGATGAGAAAAAGAAAACAAAGAAAATTGATAGTGAACTCAACCCTGTTTGGAATGAGGTAACCTGATCTTTCTGTCCCTATAATATAGGAAAAAGTACATGTGTAATAGAATTCAATCATGTACCTTGTTTCATAACTTTGGCTGTTGCAAATAAGAAGACAGCGAGAAACACATGTGTTGTATGTTTTCTGCTCTGTTCAGAAGTAGAATTTCTTCCTGTCCAGCTAAGGTTGTAATTAGTAGCTAGCAGCTTCTGCAGCAGACTACAGACTGCCAAAATGAGGCCCTATGTGCAATGAGATGATTATGTAAATACCACCATTATATATTTACATCCCAATGTTTGATGCAATTTACTGCATTTGCATGAGATCTCATTAAACACATCATCTTTTGCACTCTCCATTGCAATCCTGGTGGATGCTTATGGAGGCAGTCTTTTTACAGTCAGGGACCAAATATGAAGAGTTAATTATTTTTCAGACTTAAGGATTGCCTTGGGTGTGTCAAATACATAGTAGTGTTTTGGAGTCTTCTAGCAATTGTTTGTTTGGGGATAGTGACAGTGATTGTTTTTGGGATACTCTGGTAAGTACAAAACCATGGATTGCAACATCTGGCTCTTAAGGGCCTTTTCCAGGGGTGGGATTCAAATTTTTTAACAACCGGTTGTGTGGGCGTGGCTTAGTTGGTGGGTGTGGCTTGGTGGTCATGTGACTGGGTGGATGTGGCTTGGTGAGTTGAGCGTGGCCAACTCAATATCACTCACATTGAGCTACGCATCTCCTCACCGGGCCTCTCATGACTGTGGGGATGCTGCAACAGTCGTAAGTGTGAAAAATGGTCATCAGTCACTTTTTTCAGTGCCATTGTAACTTTGAATGGACACTCCATACAAGCAAAGTACCAGCAAAGGAGGGGAAAAAAACTCCAGAGAAGTTCCTGAAAGTCTAGTCCTGCCAAGAATGTAATAAGGGTTAACGGAGAGGCAGTTTCTGTAAGCAACACCAGAATGTTTCCTTCCTGCCTTCCTTACAGGATTAGGCCATTAATTTCTTCTAACAACCGGTTCTCCGAACTGCTTAGAATGTTAACAACTGGTTCTAGCGAATAGGTGTGAACTGGTAGAATCCCACCCCTGGCCTTTTCTGATGATTCTTGAAGGTCCTCCCGGCTTGATTAGTGAAAAGGAACAGCCAAGAAAAAGAAGCATATTAGATTGTGGAGTTTGGTGGACCTATCAGGAGATACTTATGACCCAGTTCCAAAGTTCTGATGTTCCCCCCTGGACACCTGACCACATATTGGGTTCTCAGCAAGTGGCCCACATTTGCAGAGTCCCATGGTCATGTGATCGTTTTGCATATTTTTGCTGAAAACCAGCATTTGCTTCCAATTTTCAGTAAAATCAGCCCACAGTGAACCACTGGTTTGCTTAATGAATGCCACAAAAAAGGTCATATAATTGAGTTGGTTACATCTGCCTATGCCAGCTATAAAGAAAACCCCAAAACCCTCCATGCGAAAGCACAATATATTTCCACCCTTTTTGTGAACTTGAGTTCTGTTCTCCCCAAAATGTTAAGCAGAGCTTTTAATTACAACAGGTTATTAGAGGATAATTAGGACTGCAGAAAAAAACAATTACTACCAACCTGCCTTCAATTGAGGATCTGTATACTGCACAAGACAAAAAGAGGCTTTGAAAATATTTACAGACCCCTCACATCCCAGACATAAACTGTTTCAACTCCTACCCTCAAAACGACGCTATAGAGCACTGCACACCAGAACAACTAGACACAAGAACAGTTTTTTCCCCGAACGCCATCACTCTGCTAAACAAATAATTCCCTCAACATTGTTCAACTATTTAAAAAGTGTACACTACTATTACTGTTAACCTTCTCATCACTCCTTACTACCCTTCCCCTCCTACTTTTGACTGTATGACTGTAACTTTGTCGCTTTTATCCTTACGATTTATATTGACTGTTTCCTAGTATGATTTGATTGCTTATTGTACCCTATGACTATTATTAAATGTTGTATCTTATGATTCTTGACTCTTGACGAATGTATCTTTTCTTTTATGTATACAGAGAGCATTTGCACCAAGACAAATTCCTTGTGTGTCACAAATCACACTTGACCAATAAAGAATTCTATTCTATTCTATTATCTGTAACCTCCTGATATAAATGGTTTACTGTCATATCATTCAGTAGCTTCTATGTCCTTTCCATTAAAATGAATTGTTAAGAATTTGGCCATTCTTCCTGTCTTGGCCAGGATCACATAGAGGTCTTGTTCTAAGACTGAGAAGTTCCAGGTAGCCAACACTGATGAGCTGGAAGCCTCCAATGATACCAATGGAAGGACTTCCTCCCAATTGAGTTAACCTGTTTCTGAGGAGGTTTTTCTACCCATGGGAGATGAAGTCTCCTTCACCTAATTCCAGTGATTGTCAACCTCCCTACCTATAATCTGAATTGTGAAAAGCAAAACAAATTTGCACAGTCAATCCAAAGATGCATCAGACTTGGAAGTCATGATTTGGGTGGAAAATCACCAGGTGACTCCTAGACTAGGCTAAGCAAAAATAAATAAATAAATCCCAAACAACCCAAAGAATTCCTATATTCTTCTCAAGACAGCTGCATTGACCAGGAGTTAAGTTCAATTTTTATTAATAAGGCAGGAGTCAGTATTAAAATTGAGCAGTCTAAATTCAAGCTTTTTTTTATCCTCCCAAACAAATAGTTAAAACAAAGGAACAGACTGGATTCCCTATTCTTCCTTGTGATTTATTTATGCATATCCTTTTCAGGCCTCTGCTTTTGATAAATGTTAATCCCAGTCTAATCATACCAGAGCACTTGAATATTTAGGAATGTTTAGATAGGCAACATTTCCATTTTTATACAAATTACTATTTCAACATCTGGACCATCTCCACAGTTACTATTTCTGGGAATCAAACAGACAACCCAATAATTATTTTGAAACATTCACAACCTCTGAAATGTGTAAATATTACTATGTGTGCACCTCTAGAGCAAAAGCAGCCACTCTTTCGTCTGGGTTTTTTATTATTTGAGACAGTCAAGGGCTGCAGGGATGCAATTGCCATGGTTTAGGTGGTTGTTTTATTTAGTCTGGATTTTGGGGAGGGGGTTTGTGGGTGGGTTGTTTTTTCCCCGACCTTAACACTTTCCCCAAGTTTGACTTCTCTTCCCCTCCAGGAAACAAGTGGAAAATCATACCTTGCTAAAGTTTGCTGGGTGTGGGATCAGGGACACAGCATGTGTCAAGATAGTGTTTCATATTATCTCACATCTTAAACTGACTCTAACCCTAATCCTAAACTAGAATGGTTGGATGAAAGGGAAGGCAACATAGCTAGGTAATGAGTGTAATAGCATTGCAAGCAGGATGGGGTGGGTTCTTTGCTGCACAGTTTCACTTGTGAAATATACCCAATGTTTCTTTCCTTTCTGTTTATCCATTCCAAATGTCACAACTGCTTGTCTACAGTATCCCTAAAATATTAGGAAGAAGAGCAACCCCAAAACCCATCACTCCCCATCAATAACACACGTGTTTCCCAATTGATTTAAAAAAACAATATTCCACACTTATTCGGTTCTTTATTTTTAGATTACAGGTAATCCTCAATTTACACCATTCGTTTTAGTGATCGTTCAAAGTTAAAATAGCACTGAAAAAAAGTGATTTGTGACCAGTTTTCACACTTATGACCGTTGCAGCATTCCCATGGTCACATGATCAAAATTCAGGCACTTGGTAACTGGCATGTCTTTATGACAGTTGCATTGTCCTAGGATCATGTGATGTGATCATCATTTATAACCTTCCAAGATGGCTTCCAGCAGGCAAAGTCAATGGTGGAAGCCAGATTCTCTAAAAACCTCTTTATTCATTTAAGAATTGTAGTGATTTGATTAACAACTATGGCAAAAAAAGGTTGTAAAATTGGGCACAACTCATTTAGCAATTGCCTTGCCTAGCAACAAAATTTGGGGGCTCAATTGTATTGAGGACATTGTAAAAACATGTGTTTTAAAGAAACGTAACATCAACGAAATATTGTCCTAGATCAGGGGTATCAAACTTGTGGTGACATTGTGGTGCATGACGTATTACAGCTTTCCCCCCCCCCTTTGCTACAAGGAGTGGGCATGGCCAGTGTGTGAGGTATCTGGCCCATGGGCCACCAGTTTGATATCCCTGTCCTAGATAATCCTTTTCCACACAACCATAATGGAATCCAATACATTCTAAATAACATTCTAAATGTTAGTTTTAGTTGTATAAATTGTAGGTTAGCCCATTGACTAGGTATAGAAGTTAAGACTCCCATTGTCTAAACAATATAGGAAATTCTAATTCTATATTCTACTCATTTCTTGCTATCTGCATATCAAATTCATTTATTGATAATAAATATGTATAGAAAGTAATAGTTTATTTAAAAAAAAAAGATTTAACCAATTCTAGTTAAAGTACATTTGGTGTCTGAGAAGTTGAAAATGCTGCTGGTACGGTCTGCTGGCTAATAACATTAACATTTGTTAATATTATTATGACATGTAGCTGTAAATTGAGTTACATCTGATAGATGATATTTGCTTCTTAGCACAACAAATGTTAAAAATTCATCCTCACATGATAACTGAGTTAAAAAAAATATTTAAAATATTTATTCATGAAATATTTTGATTTCTTACTTGTATATGTATATGTTCTTGTATATGTTCAGTTCTGGGTTAAATCAGTTTTAATGACTGTTGCAATTCTTTTCACACAGATTCTTGAATTTGATTTGAAAGGATTACCACTGGATATTTCATCATCCCTGCAGATAATTGTGAAAGATTTTGAAACTATAGGGCAGAACAAGTAGGTTATTTTATTAAAAGTGTTGGTGCATTTATTTCACAACAAAAATTTCATGATTTTAAACTAAATTTACTACTTTTGCAAGGCCATTTATTTATTCTGTAAAGTTAAAAAAAATCAGATCTGCTATTGTATGCTTTTTTTTTTTTTTGCTTTATGAGTAAAGTAAAGCTATTCCTGTGTTAACAATGTTAAGAGACCATTCAGTTACAATAGCTCTGAATGAGTTGTACTTATGGCCAGACCTCAAAGTTCCACCCATCGCCCCCTTCCACAGCCCTATATTGTAATCTGGGCGCTTGGCAATTAGCTTGCACTTATTACGGTTGCAGAGTCCTAAGGTTCTGTGATCACCATTTGCAACCTTCTTTCCCGTCTGCAAAGTCAATGTGAAAACCAGCAGAGAAGCTTACAAATTACTCCTCTAAGTTATTGCCACTCCCACCAACTTCCTGTGTGCCATCCCATCCTCTCGAGTACTCACCTCAGGCACATCCATATTGGTCTGCAGCAACCACCTATGTGCCTTCCTGCCCTCTAGAGCAGTGGTCCCCAACCACTGGGCCCCAGACCGGTACCGGTCTGTGGAGCATTTTTTACCGGGCCGCAAAGAAGTGGGCGCCACCATCTTGTTTCGACGGCGCTTGAGAAAGTGCTTCCGGTTGAGCTTGTTGGCCGTCGGTTGGAAAGCGGCGTTTGGGTGCTGAATCCGCGCGCCTTAGTTTTGTCGAGGGGTGTGTGGCTTCGAACAAAGAGCCGTCCCGATGGCGGTGGAGTCTCACGTTAGGAGGAGATTAAGAAAGAGCCCAAAAAGCCCATCGACAAAGGTACAAAGGAGGAGTTGAAGGTGGCGGGGAGAAGCGGGGGACGGCTGGCTGGCCGGTCGCTCGGCTCTCCTTGCCTTGGTCGTGCATGCTGATGCTGGTACCGGTCCGTGGATCATTTTGTGATGCCGGTACCGGGCCGTGGGACAAAAAAGGTTGGGGGCCACTGCTCTAGAGTACCTGCCCACCAGCCCTTGCATAGCAATGCAGTACTCACACCCATCCATAGAACTCATCCATTTGATGTCCTGCTAGCGACCCTTTCAGGACTTGTAACTTCCTGCTGGCCTTCCCATTAATTGTGTTTGTTGCAAGCTGGCAGGAAGTTGCAATTGCAGTTTTGTGAGTTTCTCACTTAATAACCTATTGTCCTCACTTACTATGCAGTGAGGACTATGGGTTTGCTGTTGATAAGTCAGCTGACAACACATGACTGCATCACTTAACAGTGAAAATTTTGGTCCTAGTTACTGTCGTTAAGTGATGTCTACCAATCATTTATTTCTGAATTATTAACTCTAGCTTTGTATACCACAAGAGATGAGACAGATAGCATTAGCTATCTATCTGGAAGGCTGTCAACCTTGAACCCATCATGATCAAACTCCAGACTATGGTAATAGAGTTAGCCTGCAATATGCATTGTAACCACTGCGCCACCAGGGCTCTTATATACTTGGTTTAGAAGAGTATTGCCAAAAAGAACCAGAAGAGGAGAATCTGCTATGCTCTGAAAAATGTCGTTAGTAATATTTGTGTCAGCAATGCAGACACATTATATAGTATTTCTCATATTGCAGGCACCAAATAGTAGATTTGATTTTTGGAATGCTGCTTTTAAATTCTGTTTTGGTTTAACAAAAAAAAAAAAAGAGAATAGTCTAATGAGATTGTTAATATACATTAAGATTTGTCAGGTTTCTATTTAAAATAGAGAAAGGCATATGTCTTTTGTGGAAATGTCAGTGAGATCCAAGCAACCTAAGGATACGGAAACTGACATTTCTCCAGCTGGACAAATGGGAGGGTGGCTGGCAGGCATGTGGTGCTATTGGCAGTCTCACAAATAATTGCAAGTATGTGATTGGGTTTCATTTTTGCATTCTGGAAGTTAGACAAAGATTCTATCTTAGAACTCTAAGAACTTAGAAGACTAGCTTAACTTCTTGCAAAATTTATATTGTGGTTCATATGTAAAAAATGTGCTCACAAGGATTAATTCAAAGTTAACAGTGTAATGTTTATTTAAGAAACCATTTCGTGCAAGCAGTTTTCCATTTTTCTTATTGTGACTTCCTCTATGGCATGTTATAAGCAAGTTTTATTTAATTTTTTTATTGTGGAACTAAGTTATAAAATACCTTTTGTTCTGAATGAGAAAGCGGCTTCCCATGTAGTTATTAAAATGTAACATCTAGGATCAGAAGTAAAGATCACTAACTGAATATGTTAGTGACATATTCACTAACTAGAGACAGTAGTATCCTACAATTGTCTGCATTAAAAACAGGAGAGAGTAGGAGGTTACATAAAGATTTAAAAGATGATAATTTTAGCCTAAGGGATAGAATGAAATGAATAAATGAATGGCTTAGTGAGTGAACATTTTTCTCTGCTCCTCCCATCCCTAAAACTTTGTTCTATATTGTTCAAGAAGGACTTTTTGAAGAAGCATTTGTGGTAGTCTAATGGAAGGGCAAAAGAAAAAAGAGGATGTTGTTCCTCTGACTTCCTTAAATAAAGTTCCAATCTAACATCATTTCCAACACCACCCTCCACTCTTTCACAACAGAGTTTGAAATTGACCAATGATCACATTCACTTCTGCCAACTTCCAAATGCAGTTCCAGTCCATGGTCATCCTTTTTCCTCAGCATACCCTGCAAAGCAGTGGAAGAGTACACACATGTTATCCAGTCTTGACTACCACAAATTTACTTAATGACCTTATCTGGGCTACAAAACAGGTTGTAGTTTTTCTATAATCGTTTGCTGTTATCTGCTGGCCTGGTTGTCCTGAGAGTTGCAGGCTAGATTTGATAGCCCCAATTTCTTAAAACAATTTAAAATCAGAAGCTATAAAAATACATTTTGGACGCTCCACTCAATGTTCTGTAATGTAATGGAAGCCTGGGGCATATGCTGTTTTGAAATGCTTTCATTGAGTAGAGTATGGAGAAATGTTCCTGAGATCACAAGAAAGATATATTCTTATGTGAGCTCCCTAACAGGTATAGTCTAGAATCCAAACTACGATTTCAGGTGGTTCTGGTTTTCATCTCAAACCATGTGTCTGAATAGGATATATTTTCTGGTATCAGCTGTGTTTTTATTAGTCTTCTGAATAATAGTCCAGTGCTGATCATTACAAATATTGACTCTGTTCTTTATAGCTGGGAGTTGGCTTTCATGCCCAGTGCAAATAATGAATAAATAAACAAATCCTCTTGAGAACGGAGCCATTTTAAGGAGCAATAGTTATAACAAGGGTTGCCAATTGATCAGAGGTGGGAAAGACGCATGGTGGCTATTCCTATGATTCTAGGATCAAGCAAGCGAATATTATAAAAATATGGGAATAAAATTTTTCACCAGTATGTTCAATTGTTGTAATGAGCAGAGTAATGGCTGGCATAAAATTTATCAGTTACCACCAGTATTTCTGACTTCTCTCAAAGAGTTATGCGCCTCTTATTGCTTGAGAGTTAAAAGCAGTTAACATAACTGGCCTGTTGTGTGGAAGAACAGATCCAGATAATAAATAAATAACTGATTTGTAGAATAATTGAATAGTATTGGATTTGATAGTGAGGGAACAAATTTATAGCCAGCAACACTGGATGACTGGAAATATATTTCTTGTGATTATATGCCTGATATGTAGTGTGAACACAGAACTAAATATCCTACTAGGCCAGGGATGTCAAACTCACGTTGTCACGGCGGCATCACGTGACGTATCGGGACTTTTTCCCCTTCACTAAACCAGGCATGGTTGTGGCCAGTACATGACGCATCCGGCCCGTGGGCCGGCAGTTTGATAGCTCTGTACTAGGCCCTTAAGTCCATTCATCAAATCTGTCCTCTTCTAACAGTGCTGAATCAGCTACTTCCAGAAAACCTCATAAGCAGGGCAACAATACAGTCCTCATTTTGTGTTGTTCTTTCCCAGTAATTAGGTGTGGCAAAGTACTTCTCAATCTTATTTATTGATTCTTATTATCCTTATATCTGCTTTAGTGTAATGGGAAAAAGCAGCAAAATACTTCTTCTCAGAAGTATTTCCTTTTCTTTCTCACCCCCACACAATCTTATACGTCCATGCTCTATTGATGTTCAACAATACTTAGACAACTTGTTCTCAGATAATATGTGAGAGTTTTTGGAATTAAAAAGAGCTTATTCACAGTGACGGTGGTTTAAAATTGCAGCCTGAATCACCTTTTAGTTATGTTCTGACTAATCACGCTTTCAGATAGATGGCTCTTTGGGCATTGCTTCTGTTTTTAATAAATGCAGAAGAGATACAAGTAGAGAATTCTAATGCATTCTCTGCCATCCCCATTCCACCTCCAAGAGAATGAGGGAAGACCATTGCACAATAATAGCCCCAACTGGAAACTATTATTAAATCACCTATTGATTAAGAATATATAACACTAGTATTGTGGCTGAATTTGTATCCTAGGTTTATAAATTACATAGTATGGATGTTTATAACTCTTCTCTCAAACATTTGCAAATCTATTTACAGTATTTGCTTTTAGAAGCCACAGCAGTGTCTGATAATTTTAGGAATTGGACAAGTAAATATCTAAATAGCAGCATATTTATGGTAGTTTTAATCAGAATGAAGTTCCTTTTAATGAAAATAGTACAAAAGGAAAGTTCTCTTTTCCTGGTTTGTCAAAGTCTCTGCCACACTTGTTATCTCTAGGCATAATTTACTGAATTTACTTATCTTAAACAAGTCCCATGCTTATTTGAATAACTTTTATGTGGGATGGCCAGATGATAAGTAGGATATACCTGCTGAAATTCCTTTTACTTATCACTTTTGGGCTTGTTTCACTTCTGGCCACTGTAAGTAGAAGACTTTAAATGGACTTTGTATAGAAAACATTGCACAAGGATAACTTTAAAGTGAATTTTGTCCACTGAATGTAAACAGTGGAA